CACATTGAGTGGTAGTGATGTATTACAGTTCACTCAGAGATGCTGAGTTGTTGTCGAAACATGTGGCAATAGTCTGAAGTTATGGTGAGTAATAGTGGGGGCTCCAATGTTCATTTAATCCTCAAACACTTCCGCCAACTGCAATTAGACCCCACCACCTGGAACATCTTCCACTCCCCACCCCTCTCTGCCTTCTGCAAGGACCATTCCCTTTGTCACTCCTTAGTTCACGCCACCTCCCCACCAACCACTCCAACCCACCCGGTACCTTCCCCTGTAACCTAAAAGAATAATACCTGCCCACACACCACTTCCCTCACCTCCATTAGGGGCCCGAAACAGCCCTTCCAGGTGAGACAGAGCTTCACTTGCATCTCCTCCAACCTAGTCTATTGCATCTGGTGCTCCCGATGTGGTCTTGTCTATGTCAGTGAGACCAAATGTAGACCTGGTGACCGTTTCGCCAAGCATCTTCATCTGGCTCATAATGGCCAACCTAACCTCCCGGTCACTGCCCATTTCAACTCCCCGTCCCAATTCCCCTCAACATGTCTGTCCTCGGCCTCCTCCAGTGTCACAGTGATTCGGAACACAAATTTGAGAAATAACACCTTACCTTCTGCCTGGGCACACTACAGCCTGGAGGACTCAACATTGAATTCTCCAATTTCAAATAACCTTTCCACCCATCCCCTGGCTCCCCTACCAGCCCCACCTATTCCCTTCCATTCCAGCAACCAACTGGATTCATCCCTCCCATTGACCAACCAGGTCGGACCTACCACCAGTGTCCACTTATCACCACCATTCTGCTACACCCCTCCCCACCCCCTCTTTATCTGCTGCTCCCCTCACCCCCATATCCATTCCAGAAGGAGGATAATATCTAGAGCGTTGATTTCTCCTTTCCTCCAGAGGCTGCCTGGCTTGCTGTGTTCTTCCAGCCTCCTGTTTGTCTACCTGGATTCCAGAATCTGCAGGTTTTACAGACAAAAAAAAAGTATATAACTGTTAGACCAATCAAGCAGCCGACTAACTCACAGAATCATACCTTGCAGACAATGAGCCAGACACCACCACCGTCACTCCTGGATATGTCCTATCCCAACGGCAGGACAGACCCACCAGAGGTACGTGCACAGTGGCGAGAGAGTTAGCCTGATAGTCCTCAACATTGACTCCATGAAGTCTCACGGCACCTGGCCTTGCTCCTGCTAATTACCACCTATCCCCTCTTCTCCACTCTCACCACCCACTTGGCACACTCCTCCATGCTGAATAACACTTGTAGGATGGAGTGAGCACAAGAGCACAGTATGTACTCTGGGTGGGGATTTCAACACCCATCACCTAGAACGGCTCAGTAGCATCACTGCTGGCCAAGCTAAAGGACTCCTAAAGGACGTAGCTGCTAGTCTGAGTCTGCATTATGGAGTGAGGGAACCAACAAGAAGGAAAGACATATTAGATCTCTCCCTCATCAATCTGCCTGCTATTGATGCATCCTTCATGACAGTATCAGTATGATTGTCTCCACAAGGACTGTGCGACAGTCAATGTCCTGTCTTCATGTTGAGAATACTTTCATCGTGTTGTATGGCACTATCGCCGTGCTAAATGGACAGACTTTAAACAGATCTAGCAACTCAAGACTGGGCATCCATGAAGTGCTGTGGGCCATCAACCTCAGCAGAATTGTACTCCAGCACAATCTGCAAACTCTGGCCCAGCATATACCCCACTCAACCATTACCATCAATCCAGCAGATCAACCCTGGCTCAATGGAGAGTGCAGGATGGTATGCCAGGAACAGCACCAGGCATACTTATCCAACTCGAAGTCATAACATGCAGCATCTACTGAAGAAAAGATAAGCAGATTTTCTCAGGATTAAAGTGGCTTCCTGCAGAGAACCAAATGTATGTCTTTTGACCGTTGCTGGTTTCTCTTCTAATTTGACTAGCTTCTCTCTGCCTTATTCATAGGCAAAGATGTTCAGCTATCTGTCAACCAATCATATGGTTGGCAGACAGGCCACCTTTGTCATTAATAATTTGATCTGTTGTTCACAAACCAATCAGCTTTGGTTGTAAACTCCTTGGTTCCAGTCATTGGCACATTGCTGGAACCCACAGCTACACAACAGTGCCCACAAAAATCTATCAATTTATTTGCTTTCAAAACATGCAGCCATTCTTGTAAATCCCTGGTTTGAAAATAGTTCTTTCTCATTTCAGTCTAGGATTTTCAAAAGCACAAAAATGAAGGCATGATCCTTGCAATTTGCAATGATCTTCAGCCAGAAGTACCAAGTGAATGATCCATCTTGTCTTTTTTCAGTGGTCCCCAGCATCATAGATGCCAGTCTTCAACTAATTTGATTCACTTAGTAGCAAGTAATGGCTGAAGCATTGGATACTGTGAAGCCTGTGGACCCTGATAAAGTTCTGACAATAATACTGAAGACTGATGCTTTAGAATGTACCACACCTATAGTCAAGCTCTTTTAACAGTTACAATACTGGCATCTACCCAAAATTCCAAGGTATGTCCTGTCCACAAAAATCGGGAAAAATCCAACCCAGCCACTTATTGCCCCATCAGACTACTCTCGATCATCAGTAAAGTGATGGAATGTATCAGCAGTAATCTGCTCAGTGATGCCCAGCTTGGGTTCCACCAGAGCCGCTCAGTGCTTCACCTCAAACACTGAAAAAAGAGCTGAATTCCAGAGGTGAGGTGTGTTATGGACTAGACCAAATCTCCTCAAAATGTATTCAGAAGACAGTCTAGACCCTAACCTTTTCTTACTTTAAGGTATTGTAAGATGTTGCATTCCAGATGCAATTTGATTGGTCAGACTACTCAACGTTAAGCAAAACACACTTTAGTTTTGCACCACAGTTAAAATACAGACAAAATAAAAATAAAAGAAAGGGGCAGCTTGGTGGTGCAGTGGTTTCCACCTTCGGGTGACTGTGTGGGGTTTGCACATTCTCCCTGTGTCTGCGTGGGTTTCCTCCCACAGTCCAAAGATGTGCAGGTTAGGTGGATTGGCTGTGTTAAATTGCCCATAGTGTCTATATATTAACTCCTACTTAACTGTTCCAAAATAGTAACATCCATAACCACACCCTTGGAAAAGGCAAATTCAAATACAGATTATCTCATACCATTCTACAGTCCAGTGGGAAAACATCAAGAGAAAACTCTGTGTGTGAGAGAGAGACAGACAGACAGACAGAGAGATTAGCAGGGAGAAATGTACTGCAGCTTCTATCCAGGTTCAAGACCCAGGAACAACAACTACTGAAAACTAAAACTAAAAATCCTGGTCCTGTGGGAATGTGCCTCACCCATTCAGGCTGCTTCTATTGTTTCAACTTTTAAAAAAAACCCAAGGCCTCATAAGCTGTTTATAGGATTTCAATAGATAGCTCAATACCTCCGCCTTAAAATCTTTCTTCAAAAAAAGGACAAAATACACTTCTTAAAGTCATAGTATCATCACAGGTGAGAGTGATTGCCCTTGACATCAAGGCTGCATTCAACTGAATGGCATCAAGGAACCCTCACAAAACTGAAATCAATGGGAATTGGAGAGGCAGGGGACACTGTCCACTTATTGAAATCATACCTGGAACATAGGAAAATTGTTGTGGATGTTGGAGGTCAGTCATCTCAGCTCCAGGACATCTCTGCATGAGTTCCTCAGGGTAGTGTCCTAGGCCCAATCATTTTCAGTTGCTTCGTCAATGGCTTTCTCCTCAAATTAGCCCCTTTTTAACTCACTGCTGTTACTTTCTGCAACACTGAGATTTCTTTGACTACGTCATATCCGTTCAGATGATGCTGCCTTCCAAGACAATGCAGCTGACATGGTTTCCTTCTCCCATAGCCACCATTTCCCACTTACTGTGGTTGACAGGGCCCTCAACCACATCCAGCCTATCACCTCTGCTTCTGCCCTTCCCCCTTCCCATCTCTCACAACAGCGTGATCAGGTCCCCCTTGTCTTCACTTTTAACCCACCAGTTTCCACATTCAAAAGATCATTCTGTGTCATTTCAGACAACTCCAGCAGAATGCCACCACCAAACACATCTTTCCCTCACTCCCCCATCTGCATTTCGCAGGGGCCATTCCCTCTGGGGTGCTCTTGTCCATTCCTTGATTTCCAACACTACCCCTCCTTCCCACGGCACCTTCCCATCTAACACCACAGAAGGTGCAACACTTGCCCCTTCACCTCCGTCCCACTCACCATCCAAGGGTCTAAACAGTCTTTCCAGGTGAAGCAGCATTTCATCTGTACCTACTCCAATCTTGTGTATTGTACTCACTGCACCCAGTGTGGCTACTCTGCATTGGAGGAACCAAACATAATCTGGGTGACTACTTTGCAGAACACCTCCAGTTGTGTGCAAGTAGCATCTCATTTAGCATCATTTTAACACTGTCCTGCTTGCATTTCTATTTGGCATGCTGTAATGTTCCAGAAAATCACAGTGAAAACTGGAGGAGCAACATCTCCTCTTCAAACTAGGCACTTTATAACCTTCTGGGCTCAATATTGAGTTCAACACCTTCAAATTGTGAACCCACTCCCATTCCTTCCCTTTCTTTTAGCTTTGCTTATTATATTCTCTGTCACCATGTCTTCTCTCACCTCCCCTCGACTTCAGTGGGACTGTTTTGTTTTTTCAAGTCTGGCAGTTAGACACACCGTCGTTCTGTCATTCTCACATTGCAATCACTTAATCTAAACTATCAACATATTTTCTTCCTCAGTGCTCCACCACCCCCACAACTATTGCATAAATGCTGCCCTTACACATTTTGCTTCGGCTCTGATGAAGAGTCATCTAGATGCTAATCATTAACTTGCTCTCTCTCCATGGATGCTGCCTTACCTGCTGTCACTTCCAGCATTTGTTTGTCTTTAGTACAGATTCCAGCATCTGCACTAATTTGTTGCTACTGAGATGACAACAATGTGTGGTTCGTAAGCACAAAAGGCCTGCTAAATCTACCTTTGACCAGCATTTGAAGTCTAAGCTCCTCCACTCTGCGCTCATTGCAAATAGGTAAGGAAATGAACTGTAGCTGCAGGTTGCAAATTGCTGACTCTTGCTTTCGCCCCTTCGTTGTCTGAGCATCCAGAAAACTTTGTCTCTGTCATTTTTTGGTTGTATTTCATATCTAGAGAATGGCCAAGTGATGGCAGGGAACACGGCTCACAGTGGATACAATCCACCTGCTCACCAGTTTTATCCCCACCCTCCACAATGAGCCTGCATGCCCCCTTTTATCTCCTACTCCTCTGACAGCCCGGTTCACCATTCCCAACGTGTGGAGACCCATCATATTAAACTTCACCTCCCAACTGTCCTCCCTGTGCCCTGAGCCCTGACACTACATTCTAATGATTCTCCCTGGTCCTTTATGGTCTCCCGGTGGATGGTGGGCATGGTCACTAAATTCTCCCTCCCGTAGCCCAGCCTGCCCCCAAATGTTGCTCTGCATAACCCCATACACCTGAAGCTCATTCCCGTCCCCGTCCTTGACCCCACCTCTGCAAATGCCTGTGTTTCTTCTCCCTCCTTTTCCCCCAATGTGTATCCTCCTCACTGAATATTGCACGGACCCCCCTGAATATTGTACTGACTCCAGACTCTGAACTTCACTGAGCAGCCCCTGGACATGATGGGGCAAAACCCCTGCCTGCTGTGTTAGCTGGTGCCCCCGTGGAGTGTGCTCTGTTTGGTGCTCAGTAACTTGGAGGCTGCTCATAGCCAGTGATGAGCTGAAGTTGCTGGATACCTGTTTTGACCTCCACATTCAGCATCCTCAAATATATCTTGTTTGGCATCTGTTGTAAAATAGGAAGCTGTACATTTTAATGAGGTGAATTGCAGTGTTACCAAAGTATTTCATATGCTTCTGAAGAAGAGTCTTATCAGACTCCAAGCATTAATGCTGTTTCTCTCTCTGAAGATACTGCCAGACCTGCTGAGTTTCTCCAATACTTTCTGTGTTTGTTTCAAATTTCCAGCATCTGCAGTATTTTATCCTTAATTCAAGAAGGTATGAGGTTTTGCCCTTGTGACAGGCATCTCCAATTGCAAGGTGCAATTCACTGCCTGTTGTCTTGTGACCCTGGAGTATTTACCAGGAAAGTAGTCTTGCCCTCCCTCACTGTGGCCCTGGTTGTGACCACAGGCAGGACTAGTTTCCTACCACAGCAGCAACCCTGAGTGAATAGCCTGAACACAGGCAGCAAGAAGAGGCAGTGACCAGCATAGCCCCATCTTCCTGAGTTCTGAAAGCAGCTCATCATACAATGCTGTATGCAGTCAGATAACCCCCTCAGCACCTACTTACCAATGATCCCACTATCATTATCCTTCTTGACACAGCCACCATCTCGCCATACTCTCGCCCTCTCTTCTTGACACAGGTTAATATCAACAGCAGGTCCAGATGCAGGAATAAATTTATCCAATTGGGAAAATCACCATGCTCTCAGAGAACATACGCGTTCACCCCACTGCATTCTTAGAATCGTCGAATTCCTACAATTTGGAGGCGGGCCATATGGCTTATCAAGTCCATATCAACCCTTTGAAGGGAATCCCACCCAGATATCCCCCCCATAACACTCTATCCCGAGATTTCCCATGGATAAACCACCTAGCCTGCACATCATTGGACACTATAGGCAATTTAGCATGGCCAACCCATGTAAACTACACATCTTTGGACTGTGCAGGAAACCCGAACAAACTCAGGCAGACACTAGGAGAACATACAGACTTCACACAGACAGTTGATGAAAGGTGCTGTGAGGCAGCAGGGCTAACCACTGAGCTACCGTGCCATTCCCTTAGTTTCTGGAAGATGAAGGCTGATGACCTTTCATTGAGAGTTCTCCGGATGGTGGACCAGGTTGTTAGACCAAAAGATGTAGGAGCTGATGTAGATCATTCAGCCCATTCAATGCCATTCAATGAGATCATGGCTCATCTGATAATCCTCAACTCTACTTTCTAGCCTTTTCTCCACAGGACTCAAGTTCCTTTACTGATGAAAACTCTGTCTATCTCTGCCTCAAATATACTTAAACGACCAATCCATGGCAGTTTTCTGTGGTAAAGAAATCCATGGATTCACTACCCCCTGAGAGAAGAAATTCTTCTTCATCTCAGTTTTAAATATATAAGCCCTTACCCTGAGATGATGTCTTCTGGTCCCAGACTCTCCCACAAGGGAAACAGCCTTTTCACATCTACCTGGTTGGTTCTGGGCCTTGAGGGCCTAATTGAGCACAGCACCTCAGGCTGGGCCAAGAGTGCCACCAAGGCTGAATGGTAGACAGAAAGTGGTGGAATGGGAAGCGAGGCGAGCAGGCATCTTGGGAGAGGAGAGCAGCTCCCTCCCTGTGGAGCAACTGGCAGCCTAGCACTGCCGATAATCGGGAATATTCTAATGTCCTGGTTTCTGGTGCAATATTTTGTGGATGTGGTCACGTTCCCCATGAAATACTCCATGTTAAGTTTCACTGTGATGGTGGGAGAACTCAATCTCTTTCTTTGGCAGGACAATCTCCAACAGGACAGCACAGTGGCTCGGTGGACAGCCACGTTCCCTCACAGTGCTAGGAACCTGTGTGGACTTTGCATGTTCTTTCCTTGTCTACAGTGTTAGGTAGATTAGCCATGGGCCTGTGCAGACTTGATGGACCAAATGGTTTCTTTACACATTGGCATTCTGTGATCTTAGGACCAACAACTTCTTTGTGCTCAGTGCGGAGGCTATGATGCAGCAGTAATGTCACTGAGCTAGTAATCTAGAACCTCGGACTAAAGATCTGGGAACAAAAACAGAAATTGCTGGTGAAACTCCGCAGGTCTGGCAGCATCTGTTGGAATGACATCACTGCTGCTGGAGTTGCTGTGAGCACAGAAGGAGGATTTGAAAGGAAAGGAATGTCAATTGCTGAAGAAATGAATTCCAGTGTTTGGAATAAATCACAGCATTAACGAGAGAACAAATGGGAATGCATGCTACTGCTGTATCTACAGTATATACAAAGAAGTAAATAGATCTGATCTCCCAGTTAAAGATATAAAATTACCACACACTGATGAATTTTCATCAACTGTTTCTGAAGCAAGTGCACACACAACAAATTCTTGATGAGGAAGCTTTTCCAGTTTGAGCTCTAATTAATCTCGATCTCCAGTGCACTGAATTGCAAGGGTCACTCACTGAAAGACCACCCTTTAACCAGTAGCTGTGAGTCTGACTGAAGAAACATGCTTTACAGATAAGACAGGAAGCTTGAAAGAACCCACAGTTTAGAGGGTTTCTTCCCACCTGAGAATTTTTAAAAAGATTTTCGGTTGATTAACCTAAAAAGAATTTAATAGTCAACAAACTGACAGCTTTCCTCCTTCTACACATTAGCCCCAATGTTATCTTTATACATTAATAAAACAGATTGCCTGGCTGTGGGATCTTGCTGTGTGCATATTGGTTGTCACATTTCCTACATGAAAAAAGTGGTATCACTTCAACATTAACTGATCAACACAACTATTTTTCCCTCCACTTATGGAGCGTATCCAAATGCAGCTCTTTTTAATACAGACTTTGCCTTCATAATGCATTGATGTCATCGTCCTTTTGAATTGAATTTCTCCCTCTGTGGCTGTTTTTTTTTGCTTTTTCTATTTCTCTCTTCCCCGCTCTTCCTGCAACTGTACATTTTTCTGTCAGTATCTCTTGTCTTCCATTGTGGACCTCATGAAGGAGCAGGTTCTTATTTAAGTTCTCAGATGATATGATAAAGATCGATTTTTTTTTTTTAAATAATGGTGTGACCAGCAGCATCTGTCCTTCATGATTAAAAGTACATTTTATGTTTAAATTTTCCATTTCCAACTGTGCTCTTAATGGTAGATGTCTATACAGTAGTGATATTGGGAGAATAAAAACAGAAAACACTAGAGAAACTCAGGTCTGGCAGTATCTCTGGAGAGAGAAACAGAGTCACAGAAGTGTTGTGGAGCAGAAGGAGGTCATTTGGCCCATTGTGCATGCACTTGTTCTTCAGACAAGCATCGTTATCTAGTGCCAATCTCCAGCCCTTTCCCCACACTCCTGCATGTTATTTCCATTCAAATAATCATCCAATGGCCTCTTGAATACTTAAAATGAAGAAGAGTCATATCGGACCTGAAACTGCTTTTATTGTAATTAAATCAAACAACCTCGTCTCTTACCTCTTAAAAACGTTGCTCATATCGTTTCCAAAGTTACTTGAGTTTTTAATAATGAGCCTGTGTGGGTTTCCGCTGTGTGCTCCAGTTTCCTCCCACGATCCAAAGATGTGCAGGTTAGGTAGGTTGGCCATGTTAAATTGTCCATAGTGTCCAGGGATGTGCAGGCTAGGTAGGTTAACTGTTGCAAATACAGGGTTTATGGGGTCAGGGTGTGGGGATGGGATGCTCTTTGGAGGGTTGGTGCTGATTCGATGGGCTGAATGGTGCCTCTGTGTAGAGATTCGATTATAAATACAGTGGCTACAGGTCAGACGCTAGGAGTACTGCAGCAAGTAACATGCCTGACTCCCCAAAGCCTGTCCACAAGGCAAAAGTGAGGAGTGTAATGGAATACTGTCCACTTACCTGGATAAGTGCAGCTCCAACAACTCTCAACATGCATGACACTGTCTAGGACAAAGTAGCCACTAGATTGGTACCTCATTCATCACCTTCAACATTCTCTTCCCTCACCACTGATACTCAGTAGCAGCTGTGTACCATCTACAAGGTGCATTGTGGAAGTTCACCAAAGATCCTTAGACAGCACCTTCCAAACGCATGACAACTACCATCTAGAAGGTCAAAGGCACTAGATATATGGGAAAACCACCTCCTGCCAGTTCCAATCGAAGTGTGGAGGGTATTAAATCACAGTCCTGATATGTGCCTTGTGGACAGGCATTGGGGAGTCAGGAGATGAGCTACTCAATGCAATATTCCTAGCCTATGATCTGCTCTTCTAGTCACTGTATTTATATAGCTTGTCCAGTCTAGATTCTGGTAAATGGTAACCCCCAGATTTTGACATTGGGGGATTCAGTGATGATAAAACCATTGAATGTCAACAGTTAGATTCTACTTCAGAAGTGGTCAATGCTTAGTTCTTGTGTGGCATGAAAAACATATCATTTATCACCATCTGTCAGTGAATTCCATTCCCTTATTTAATTTGCTTTGTTAATTTGATGTTTCTCAGATGTCCTCCTCAGAGAAACCTGTTCTCATCAAACCCGCGCTGACTGAGGCCCAGGTTGTTGAGTTGGCTGAGCGGTTATATGGTCTGAAGGTCTCCAGTGTCCAACCAATGCCCAGTTACGATGACCAGAACTTCCACATCCTGGTGTCTGAGACCCAGGCAACTAGAGATCACAATCAGAGCTACGTCCTCAAAGTGACGAACACTGTCGACAGTGAAGACGCTGATTTGATTGAAGCACAAACACAAGCCATGATATTTTTGAGTGAGAAAGGATTTCCATCACCCACACCAATCCCAACCGTTGATGGCAAGATTATGTCATTAGAGACAATTGGTAAGTTTTATTGATGACCGGGTGCAGTTGCAGTTGAATTTTAAAACGTCACTGCTTTCACCAAAGCATGTCATCTCTCAAATTTCTGTGTACTGTATTTCAAAATAATCGAACATTTGGCTGAATCAATACTGGCAGCTTCCACATTTCCCTTAGAAGCGTGTGCCACATACTGACGACTCCTCGAGCCACAGAGTAATTATGGCATAGAAGAAAGCCATTCAATCCATTGAGTCTGTGCTATTTCTCAATAGACTCATTCAGTCAGTCCTATTCATCAATAATTTTAAATCTGTGTCTACTTGTTTTTGTACAACCAACTAATGGGAGCAGCTCCACTCAAACTCCTTTACTCCAGAGAGAACAAACACAACTCCCCCCATCTGACGTTACAGCTCAAATCCCTGGGGCCAGTCTGATATACCTCCTTGGTATCCTCTCAAGAGCCTTCCCTTGCCTCTTTGTCACACCTTCTTGAATACCTTTTGTAAATCCAAATGTAATCCATCCACTGGTTCTCCTTTGTCTACCCTGTTCTTTTCATCCTAAAAGTACACATGAAAGTTGTCCAACATGATTTCCATTTCATAAAAGCATTTTTGGTTCTGTCTAATCGTTTTATGATGTTTTAAGCCTCCCAATGGCTCGATAGAATATTGTTTTCACAGATTCCTTTTGAATTTACCCCTTCAAATGTGGGCCATGTCCATTTTTCTAGACAAGAAGAAACAAACCCCCACAGTAAATATTTTCAAGTACCTTCAGATTCTGTAAAACTGAAGTGATATCACCCTCTCAATGTTCTCTCTCCAAATGATAAATCTGTCCAGTTTATAGAATTGATTCTCAGAATTCAGTCTCTCCATTTCCTCAGTCACTCTGTTGCTCTCCTCTGTATCCTTCAATAGCAGCAATATCCCTCTGGGAAGCATGGCAACCTAAACTCTGTTCTCCATCCATAATGCTATCAATAAACATGCGGAATTAGATCCCATATACAAACCCTTACAAAAAAGAACCTGAAATGACACCTCAGCAGCCCGGATCATATAAATACTAAGCAGAATGGAACAATATCGCTTCATTGGAGGCCGCACTGCTGATTTTATCCAGCATAGTGACAAAACGTCTGAACTACAACCAGCCAGCTCGGCGAGTAAGTCAACAACTTCACCTAAACTGTGTGTTTGCACCAACGATTTATAAGGTGACAAGGTTATCTCATTATTTTGACCATTTAATGCATCCCCAATGTCTGATTTGTTTTATTCATTGCCACCATTTCTTTATTCTTCTATGGGATGAGGGTGATCCCTAATTATCCTTGAGCTGAGTGGCTCACTTGGCTATTTCAGAGGGCAGTAAATGGTCAATGGCATTTCTGTGGGTCTGGAACCATGTGTAGATCTGACCAGTTCAGGATGGCAGATTTCCTTCCTGAAAGAGGCATTAATGAACCAGATAGGTCTTCACAATCACCAATACTGAGACTACACTTGAATTGCAGATCTTATTGATTGGGGTTGTCTTCCACCAGTTGCAGTGGTGGGATTTGAACCCATGCTCTCAGACCATTAGCCTGGGCTACTAGACTACTAGCCAAGTGTCATTGCCACCACATCTTACTGACAGGAGGCTGGAAGAGCACAGCAAACCAGGCAGCATCTGGAGGAAAGGAAAAGTCAACGTTTCAGGTATTACCCTCTTCAGGACACCAGTTTTGTGTTCTTCCAGCCTCCTGTTGGTTTACATTGGATTCCAGCATCTTCAGTTTTCTTGTTTCTCACCACCCCACTGTTCAGCTTTCACATTTACCACCTTCATTTACACTCTCATTATTCCATAAACTCATGAAAGAACAAAAACAAGTTGGAGTTCCAAAGAATATTTTGGTTTTCCAAGTCTGGCATGAAATTGTGATTGGAAAGTTCATGTGGGAGACGATCAAGGTGCTAACAAGTAAAATGACCAAAAGACTAAAATATTTAACACAGTCACAAATTTTGCAAAGGGCACAGCATTAGATCTAAGAGGGATGGGAAGGAGCCATACGAACAGGGCACTCAGATCCTCATACTGTTTAAATCTATATTAATGGCCTGGATGAAGGGACCAAATGTATTGCAGATAATGCAGAAATGGGAAACCAATTTGTGAGGATACAATTTGCATTGACATATTAGACAGGTTGAGTGGGCAAACATTGGCAGTTGGAGTATAATGTGAAAATGTGTGAAGTTTTCCACTTTGACTGGAAGACTAAAACAGCAGAATAATATTTAAATGGAGAAAGACTATTGTACTCTGCAGGTCAGAGGGATCTAGATTGCCTCGTATATGAATTCCAAAACATTAGTGTGCAGATACAGTAAGTAATGAAAGAGGCACAGGGAATCACAAAAAGCTAGCATCCAAGTTCAGTGGGTGATAGGCAACTGTCCATTTGCCTTCCCTTTATTTCAAAGGGAATGGAGTATAAAAGTAGGGACGTTTTGCTAACACTATACAAGGCTCTAGTCATACCACAGCCACAAAGCCATGAACTGTTTAGGGTCCTTTAAATCTTTAATATGATTGATCCTGTGTTAGATAGCTCCTGGTTCAGGTAGTGATCCAAAATTTATTACATCTCTCTTATTGCGATCAGTCTTTGACCTCTTATCTAGAGAAGGCTAGATTGGTGTTGGGCACCGACCAGAGTTAGCTCACTGGGCTGATACCAGGTATGGAAGGACTGTCTTATAAGAAGAAGTTGAGTATGTTGGGCCTTTACTCATCGGAATTTAGAAGAATGAGAGGCGACCTTATTGAAACAGACCTTTCTTAGGGGTCTTGACAGGGTGGCTACAAAAAGATGTTTCCTTTTGTAGTAAGAATTTACGTATAGAGGGCATTATTGAGGTTGATTGGCTGGCTGAGCTGGTTTGTTGTTTTGCAGACGTTTCGTTACCATGCTTGGTAACATCCTCAGTGCAGCCTCCAATG